ACCGAGATAAGAAACATGCCAAAATCAACAAGAAAAACTAACAATAAAATGGAAGGAAGAGTAGACCACTCCGGCAAAAATATTTTTGATTTAAGTCTAACCTTTTTTAAACTATACCGAGGCTAACAAAAAAATACAAAAGAAATAACAGCTTTTTTTCTCTGAAATAAATTGATCCTGTTAGCCTTGCATCCACGAAAAATTTAAAGGGGTTCTAGGAAAACTATATCGTATATTCACATTTCTTGGAATGGTTACTCATTATAGGAAACAGGTACCAAACATGAAAAAAATGGCAAGTTGTCCTTGGCAAAACATTTTATATCGATATTTGATCTTAAATCGTTAATGAATATTCATTTTTATTGCAACTAACAGAAAAACTAGTAGACTTCTAGTTAGTTTTATTTATCACTTTACCAGCTGACCCATTAATATGGGACTACGAGCCTTCTTTTCGTTTTTAGCGAAACCAAACACCTCCTGTTTTAAAGTTATGGATCAGGCGCATACAAAACAGGAAAAATGGTCAACAGTTGAAGCTGATGACCTAAGACGATAAAGACGATATGGTAGGAAAACAAGCATAATAGGAGATGTACATGTCAACGAYTTTTTACTTCGAAAAAAATAAATAATTAAATTAAATAATTAAATAAAACTTTTCTTAGCAAACATGCAATTGTTAAAGGCCTCCCCGCTAATCTCTGTATGAAACGTTGATTGATTTTCTTTTAACRATTTAACGCTATACTCTCCTCTCTTTATTCCAATGGTTTGACCGACATCGCGRAGCACCATGAAAAGACCATTGAAACCTCTTGGGTTCAAATTTCCGGTGTTTTTGAAAGGGCCTCTCCCTTTTTGCGTGTACTGGCTGAAGGTTTGGCCTTCAATACGACAGACATGTTGACTTTGGAATTACTCCGTTTACATTTCGATAATACCGCAGAATTAGGGTGAGCCCGTTTGATTATAACCGGCAATATTCAAGTTATCAGGGGCCCATCACTCTATAGTACTTTTCTACAGAAACCAATCGCGTAGCCTCTATTGTTACGGTATTGTTACCATTTCTCTTGTGCGTGATCAAGCAAGATAATTCATTCGTCCCCAAGGATGCAGTCACGGTCCATGACATAAGCCTGAATGTAAGCGCTGTTTAAGTCAACAGATAGGTTATCTGAGTTCTGCTTGTCGTGTGGTCCAGGAGAAATGACAGTGATTCTACTCGTGTTATTTGCTTGTAATGCKTTTTCTGGCTCGTTTGGCGAAGGTAAGTGTGTTTTATTGCTGCCCCAACGGCGAGTAAAGTTTTAAGAAGCAAAGTTTTATAAGGAGAAACCGGTTCTTTATTCATTGAGACGAGCGGTGTAAATTAATGACGATTTGTGACAGTCCATATACAAATACATGTACCCTTAAAGAACTGAGCCTTCAGCTAAAAAAAAAGGTCATGAACATGAAGCAAAGATAGCAATGTTAGTTCAGTTACATAAACGTTGTAAGCGAATCTATCCCTTTGTTTACAAACAACTGACTATAGCTTCCTAACTTATCGACAATTAACAACTGTTTGTAGTAAAGTTTTATCAAAAAATTCTCTTATTCTCGATATACATAACACTATTAAGCAAATTTGCTTTCTTTTTTAATGTTGTACTTTTTTTACTTCAGTTCCACGAGTTTTTAGCCACTACAAATACTAGTGTACGAAAGTAGATTCAATCGCCAACATTCACGAGGTTTTCATGTCAAAATTCACTAGCATATTCGTATCAATTGTGAATTTTYATGAAAAAGGTTTGAATAGATTAATCCTGTAAGAATGGTCTTAAAGTTCTTCAACGAGGTTTTGTTGGGCCACAAAAAGATTTGAACTCATGAGCGATTAACTTAATGGCCTGCAATGTTTACAGATACCATTCCATTCGATCCAAAAGAATCATTAGTAGTTATGTTCAACTAGAAAAATGATTATAACTGTCAAAGCTGTGCTATACATGTATATAAAATGAATTTTTAAAGTATGCAAATGGTCTGTCTAGCTATAAATTCAACTTGTCTCCAAAGGTCAATGAGTAACACTGGAAGATCAACGACGGGATGAATTTTACTTTTTATCTCAGTAGCAAAGTTCGAGCACCATGAACTAAATGTTTTAGACTGAAACGCCGCGTATATAGTCCCAAATAGTTAACCTTACCGATTCAGATGAGTGGCAGCATTTCATAATTTTATCGCATCTGCTGTCTGTATAAAGAASTTGTAGATAATTTAAGAAATAACAGTACTTTGGTCATTCCTTTCAGTCTTGTTTAAAGTTTATTGGAGTTTTAATTTGAAAACAAAACACACACACACAAAACACACAGAAGTTTTCTACCCGGCGTTTTGATTATCAAAACGATCCAAAATATTGAATGGGCTTAACGTTATTATTTAAAGTCCACTGAAATAACAAAAATTCCTTTGGGTTTAGGAATATRATTGATACCATTTTCTGCATTCTTTTTTGTGCACGATTAATAGCTCTCATTAGCGGACAATGAGGTATTCCYAAGTCTATATCGAGGAGAATGTGCCAATACTATTCAGTATAGATAGCAATAAATATTCTGGTAATCTGAGAGGGCAATCGTCGCTCTGGAGSCTTCATTACAACTGATAAAATTGGTGATATTAAAGCCTGGATGTTCAATATACATAATGATTTGAAGATAAGATGCGATCTTGCTGTCATTTAGTACTTTTAATTGATTCCACTTGACAGTGTCAAATCTAACCAACATGCAGCGGCTATTTTGCACCGAGTTCTTGCAACCTGTTGCCAATTTTCTTCATACCATTGATCCAAATGAGGAGTGCAGATCTGCAATGATAGAGCGCAGATTCATAGAGGGTTTTATTCATTGATGGTTCTTAAATTTTATGTTTTTAATAATAACTTTTTAATGTCTAAGGGCTTTGTATTTAGATTGCAGACGCATTTAGGTAGGATTAGCTAGTAAGGGTCATACATGTTACACAGATCTGCTGATCTGCTATACGGTTCTCCATATCAGTCCATATCCAGAATAGAGCAATAAGGCCAATTGGKTAGAGAATGCAAAGTTCAGTAATCTTAAAGATTCCTGGAGGAATGCTTGCGAAAAGTTGTTGCATTCTGGGTACTGGAAGTACAGTAGTACAGGTTAACTGCAAACACCCCGACACTCGAACATTACACAAACTGTCGAAAACGACAATATCGAGCCTAAATAAACATTGGTATTTGATGTAAATAGATGCCCTTCTGCAAAGAGCTCAGGGCTTCTATATACAGAAATACACACTAAATAGAAGGAACAGGAGTTGCATTTGAACAAAATGTCACCAATAATTAATGGTTGCGTGAGATGTTGGGCCAMARTATATATCTCGGACTGGGATCTACRAGACTGGTTATTGTCCTGCTCACACCGACCGTATCTTGGTCAGTAGACGTCTCTACTTATCGTYATTGGAAGCTAATTGTTTGAAAATAGAACCTTTTTAGGGATGGTAGGAAATTGATTAAGAATTTGTCAATACGGTCATGGAGTCTGCACTTTATTTTTGGGCTTTGTTTTGTATTCATGAAGGTTTTACACTCAGATGATATTGTCTGTCGCCCTCTCGTCTGTCGTTCTGTGCGCATAGGCGAGTGGACAGACARACAGACATTCTACATGTCAATGAATAAATATGACTAGTTAGCATGTGTGATCATATCTGTTGAGGGTATATATTGTTTCATCTTGCCTCGTCCTTTTTTTAGAATTTTTAACTCCTAGCTATTTCCAGATCAGGTTTTAGGCCAAATATTATGCTATTCAGTTTCGGATCGTTCATAGTACGCGTTACTATAGACAGATCGGCCATAAATACCGAAATTAAAAAATCAAATTCAAACAAGTAGACTGAGATGTCCGGTGGTTACAAGAATATTAGAATTCAAGTATTCGCCTAGTTGTGTCCCGGCAAAACAAAAGCTAGATACCGCAAAATTCCCGTACACATAGCGAAGTACAATCGCCTTTTTCTTCCATTCGAGGTCAAAACAGTATTCCAATACAAGTATATGCGTGTACGAGATAAAGCCAAAAAGTGTATGTGTTTTGAAGTCGGAAACATTTCATTTTACCGCTCCGAATATGGATRACCTAGATGTTCATTGTGCAATCAACCATATAAAGCTGGGACGTACCAAATACAAAACGCGAATGATTCAGCGTGACGAATTCGCAAGGGCTTTYGCCACGGAGAAAACAAAAATGCTTCAATTTTATTCATTCGTTTGCGAGCAATGCTATTTCATTTYCTTTGTCTAGTTTTCCCATGTATTTATAATATTGCGCATTGCGCTTAACCGTTTATATGCTTTTCCCATAAAAGGTTCTATAAACAATTAACGTCTCAATCGTAAGAAARGATTAAACATCTTGTCCTCATTTCCTTATTACTGTTACAACAAGAGCGCATTCATGTTGGGTTAAGTAACGGGAAATGACCGGCTCAGACTGGCCTAGTTTGTCACCTTGTTTGACACTAGTACYCATTACCATCTGCACTCTATGTATTGTGATTGTTTGTAATCGAGATACATCTTGCTAAAAAAATTTAATCCAACTATAATAAACATGTACACCGACAAGGTGACCGATCGATCGGAAAATCTACCCAGCCTAAAAGACCGACAACTGCTTGAATAACGCAGGCAGGCAGGTTAACGCTCTAGTGCAGCCAGACAGGTAACCAGACAAACGGAAGGATAACCTTTATAATTCTTGACGAATATGACAAAGAAGAAAGAGCTAAGATCCAATCGAGTATAGACAGAGAGAGAAACAATCCGAATCTACCTTTACTCGTTGTCTAACCTTCGCTTATTGTAGTGCTATATCTATGAAGGGATTACCACGTGTTACCCCGCCCTTGTCTCAGTCTAGAGTTTTTCAATACATCTCAAAGTAGATACCTATCTCGTGAAAAAACATCAGCAAACTGTTCTCGAAAACTGAACTGTTTTGCATTGATTTAAATTTCCCGGTCCAGTAATTGTATTTGTCGCAAGCATCATCTTACTGAAGCGTCCACCTTCAATTCTAATATTTTGGTTTTTGTGGTGCTTTTGCGGTTGATTTTTGCATATCTAGACAAACGAAGATAAAATCACAAGTAATCATCCACTTTGAACGACACATAGTCTCGATAATTCGCATAACAAACATGCCCTCGAGGACATAACATGTATTATCATTATGCTAAGATAGCTATCGCTCAATTTTTGATAAGAYTRCAGTGATAGGCGRACCCCTTATTAARCGGACACCCTTCATTAAACGGACAGCTWTTATTATTCTAGTTGCATGTTCCAGAAATTTCCCTTCCCCTAAATCCCGAAAGGTGTCCGCTTGGAGCTTGTCAGCGCGGACAAAATAGTTGATAAAAAATATGCATTAGTTACACTAGAGGAACTAACCCGAGGGTGTAATTATAACCTTTGAGAGCCATAATACTATTATTGACTTTTGTAGGTCGTCTTTGGTCTGGGTTTGCCAGTGGTGTTGTTATTATTTTCTACTCTATTTAATCATATTCTGCTCTCATTGTTCTCTCCAAGAAAATGGGTAGGGAGTTCAACTTATGGGGAGATTATAGTGATGTTTAGTTAATGTATATTAAGAATATACCAGGCCTAATAATAAGATAATGTCAGTGTTATTTTATCAATACCTCTACCACTATTCCATTGTGACACTTCACCAACCCAGATCTACCATCTATATATACTCACCTACCATCATCGTAACTAGCACCATTACCATTACTATTACTGCTACCACCATACCACTACCACCTACTACCTACCTTCACAATCACCACCTTTACTGRTAACACAACCACTTCCACCACTAACAAACACTACCACTACAAGCAATTGAAGCCTCACATTTTTTTAATCGATTTTCACAGCAAGAGAACCACCAGCTTGTCCCACATTATCTGTTCACAAGAGATGTCCAGTTGGTCTAGCCAATCAGTGTGCAAAAGACTCGGAYTGTCCAACCTTTACGCGGTGTTGCTGGGATGGATGTAACAAAAGATGTGTGGACACGACAAGCAAACTTGCAATAAACTCACGTATGTATTCCATTAAGTTAAGAGTCGCTTAACAGTACCACTCACAGAGTGTTAATAGACCGTTTTCGAATTAGTCAAATACCGCTTTACTCTTTGATCACACACACAATATCCTCAATTTTTWATCTAATTTTTGGAGACATATCCTATATCTATGTATTTGTCTTTCTYTGTTTCTTTTTTTAAGTATAGTTTTCACGTTTATTTGGTATTTTGATGGGAAAGAATGACCTAAAATTAAGATTTAATGCAAAATTTAACGTGAGTTCCACGTGAAATACCCGCTTGTATACATCATCTCTAGTCAATCAGCGCGCGCACTTAAGATGAGCTATAGGATTCTCAAATTATTTCCATACGGAATGGAGGCTAACCCTTTAGAACAGATAGAATTCGAAACTTGAGTATTATGCCTCAGGGATCTATGGGTTAGTTAGCTTCTTATCTTCAGCGTCTTTCCTTTTGATCGATTATCGTCAATCCAGGAGTTTTAACATTTTTAATCTCGTTTGAAACTAAACATTTTTCTCTCACATTGAATTCACTACAACTCTGAATAATCAGAAATCGCATGCTAAAAATAGCTCAGTCTTGAGCGCGGAGCTAAAATAGATTTTCAAAAAACGTTTATGGTTACAGACCCATGTATGTGAGATGTGCTCTCTTACTTCATACTCTCTTACCATTTGAATGTTAATAACATTCTGATAAGGAACTTTGAGCATGGGTGAATATTATTACAGATTTCCGCCAACAATCAAAACGCGACGGAGCATTTACTTATCACCTGCAACCTTACTATCAACCCAGTTAGGAATCTTCAAATTTTATCAAATTCTGAAACAACCTGTGGACTGCTTGAATTAAGTCATCAGGGCACAAGCATCTAATTGACAGAAGGAATTAGAATTTAAATTGTACGGTTTTTGCGGAGGAAGGAAAACCGGACTAAAACCGTAAAAAAAACTTGAATCGCGAGAAAGACCTAACAAACTGATGTTACACTGGACGATTCGCAACGACTATTTTTTGCAATACGCCGTTTCGCAAAAAATTGATGCCGTGTAACATGCCATTGACAACGATTTTCGAATTCGGCAACGCGTTTCAAGTTTTCGATTCAGCTTCAAAAACTTGAACGCAGAATCGCGTACAGCTTCATCAATGATTTTTCACACAACGCACACCCAAAATGCTGTTCAAAACTCTCATAGAAGCGAGGCGATGTCATCAACCAACAAGATGGCGGTTTTGAAATCGCTAAAAATTGTCCCGTCTAATATGTTGATTTTCGAACGAACGTTGCGCGAAAAGTTGACTCGTATAACATGTATTTAAAATCGACGAGTCGTATCGCGGAAATTCGTCGTTGCGAAACGCCCTGCGTAACATCAGTTTTACGGTGCCGAGTCCTTCTAGGGAAGCCAGGACTCCAGAGAGGCAAAGCCTTACCTCTACGCGCAAGCCATCCTTGATTCCCAAAAAGTATGCATGTTCCGCACACATGTTTATTTTCACTTGATATCAGTAAAGAGCCTATAGTTTCTTTCGTCCAGGTACCAAGTATGGAGGTTGCCCAAGACACGACATGCSGAACCCTTGCTCCGCTAATTTTGACTTGTGCTTGGACGACTCGTACTGCCTTGGTGACGAGAAATGCTGCATGGATGCCGACTGTGGAAAGAAATGCATGTTACCGAAGACACTTGCGGTAATCAAAAATGGTAAGTACAGATAAGATACGGTCCAATCAAAAACAAGCAGCAAACAATACAGTAGTTTGTCGCATGAAAGAGGCTCCATTGTCATTTCCATTCATGTTTAAGTTTATGAAAAGTAATTAATTCCATGCAAAGGGTCCCAGAATTTGGATGGAAATTAATGATATAATGCAAATTGCGCATGCGTGGTGGGTTAAAAATATACTCACTATAAATACATTATATTATATCTTACGTTTTGAAACTGCTGAACTTTGAGCGTGAGTTCTGTTTTTTGGAGCAACTCTTTATGCTTTCGATGAAAAAGGCACTATTATTTCTGAGAGGTTTCTAGTGCGGAAACTAATGTTTCTATTGAAGCAACAATATTCTAATAATCTGATTCAAATAACTGATTACTTTACGCAAGAGTAAAGAATTATCCAAATATCGAATGTCCAAATGTCCAATATGCATCTACTTTCGTTCATTTTGAAGGATCGTTCCTTATAAAGTTACCTGCGCCATCTTAAAAGGTAACTGTGCCCGGTGTATCGAAGCGAGAACGGCGATGACCTGGCGTTGGCCGAAATGTGAATATTTGTCCGAAGTGTGTTAAAAAAGGTGACCACTGTTCTCGCTTCCACCGCGTAAAGCCACGGTTACCTTTTAAGAAGGCGCAGGGAACTATGAAGGGGATTGAACAAAAGAGTGATAAAATGACCAATGCGATTTTTTTTTGTAAACCTCCAAAATAACCTCTTTCACTCACTTCCGCAATCTTGACATATCAGTCGATAAAGCCTGGTGCACACTAGCGTCGAAATTGAATTCGGACGCAAAATACGTAGACTACGTATCATATTTATCAACGAGTTGTGAAAAAGAGACAAGCATTGTTTATGAGCAGTACGCTACTGAGTCTTCGTATGGTCAGTTCCAATTGCGATTCCGATTCCAACGCTAGTGTGAACGAGTCTTTGGCATTTGATAATTGCAAAAACATCAATGAACAAGAGATCCCGCAATGAAAGGCTTTTCGAGTTTCCCACCAACAAACCCTAATCTTGATATCTTATGCGTCAAGAACTAAATACACAGAATATCATGCTATTCTAGTATTCTATTATCTTATTTTCCCCCCAGCTACACGAGCGTTTAAGTGCCCACGTGTCAAGTCTCACAAGGRCAAATGTCCTAAGAATCCATCACATAAATGCGCATTGGATTCTGAATGTCCAACTGACACAGCGTGCTGTTATGATGGATGCAGAAGGCGATGCACAGATCAAAATGGAGAATTAGGTATTGCACCTATTTTATTTCTATTATTCTTTTTTTTAATAAATTTACTTTAAAAAAACAACAACAACAAAATATGAATTTAATCTAATTTTTAAATCAACTTAAAAGTCTTTTTGATAAATTAAAGTTTTCCTTTTTACTTCTCGAATTTCTATATTTCTAAAATCTCGTGGAACCAAAGAATCTTGTGAGAGTTTTGTTTCCAATCAAATATTCGATAATCATGCTTATACATGTGTATTCCAAACTGTTAGGCCTAGGGCAAAYGTCGAACTTTCCATGCACCGAACTCATTAAAAACAATGGATATCAGGTGATAATGAGGCGGCATTATTTGATGTAATTAAGTTCGGTGCATGGAAAGTTCGACTTTTGCCCTAGGCCTTAAGATGGCCTTTATGGTCGAATTGTTTGTTCTTATATATACTGATGAAACAATATTCAACCCGCAATCTCTTTGTATTACTTTTGTTTCAGTACCGAACAGGAAAGGGTTGTCCTGTCCATTGTTCACACCACCAGTTGGCTGCCCAGTWTCGTTTAAGGAATGCATCAATGATGAAGACTGCAGTTTCTCCATGAAGTGTTGTTCTGATACATGTAACCACTGGTGTATGCCATCTCTGCCTCATAGAGTGAATATACCCGATAAAGTGGACCCTATCCCCACCGACCCCAGTAAGTCTCAGTCATTATCATAGCCCATTGTGATCTTGTTTGGAAGGAGGGGTGGAGGGAGCATGTCCCCTTCTGGAAATTCGAGAAACAACATCTAAGCGCAAACTAAGTCCCAATATGAATTAACGAATAAGATYAACCTTTATATTTTCGTTTGGTTACATTTTATATCAGTATTCCATATATACCTCTTCAGTAACTTAGGATTGTTTTCCCATTTCAGAACACGTGTCATTTTCCTAAGAATAAAAATCCTTGTTTAGTCTTTCCATGTTCAGGAATACGATAAAACAAAGGAAAGAAACTTTAGGGAATGACACGTGATCTGAAATCGGAAATCTTTAATTTCAAGGTAAACAATTATGGTCTTGTACCTACGGTATTGGACAAATCATTTATAATTCAATCTGATCCATAGGTGAAAGGAATCTCTACAAGCAAGGGAAGTGTCCAGTCATGCCTAAACTAAAATCCTGCGAGGGCCAGGTATTTCAGTGCAACTATGATGTAGACTGCTGGGACAGCGAAAAGAAATGCTGTGATAATGGATGCGTTACAGCATGTGTAGATCCAGTTTTTACTACGACTGGTTTGATCGCTACTCCAGCATTAACAACYAGAAGAACAACAACTTTTAGAA